ACTGATGTACAATATAAGGTGACCTCTAGTCCCCTTTCTGGTGTTAAATATAAGGTGTCCTCTGGTCCCGCTACAGATGTACAATACAATATTAGGTGACCACTATTCCCCGTACAATATAAAATGACGTCTGGTCATCCTTCTGATGTTAAATATAAGGTGACCTCTGGTCCCCCTACTGATGTACAATAAAAGGTGACCTAAGGTACCCCTGCTGATGTACATATGTTACTTCTGGTCATCCTTCTGATGTTTAATCCAAGGTGACCTCTGGTCCCCCCTACTTATGTACAATTAAGAAATGAATTTAATTTTTGAAGATTCATGAGGTTATGAACTACGACGCTTCACGCCGGCATATTTCATGAAGCGCGTTAGCGCCTCATGATAAATATACTGGCGTGAAGCGTTGTAGTTCATAACCTCATGAATCTTCAAAAAATTAAATCCATTTCTTATATTTACATTATTTTTCTGATGACTTGTCATAAATTTACGCCATTCAACTCTCAATTTTAAAGCAAAACAGTGTGCTTTATACTTTTTTTGACGCCAAGTGCGGTATTATGACGTAACAATGGAGATATTCATGCTTATTTGTGATACATACCTAATGTAGTTCATGAGAAAAAATACTGCATTTTTTTTTGTAAAGAATCATAGGAGAAATTTATTGGTAATGTAAATATTATAAAGTGACCTCTGGTTCCCCCTACTGATGTTCAATATAAGGCGAACTCTGTTTCTCCTACTGATGTACAATATAAGGTGACCTCTGGTCGCCCTACTAATGTACAATATAAGGTGTCCTCTGGTCCCCCTACTGATGTTCAATATAAGGTGTCCTCTGGTTCCCTTATTGGTGTACAATATAAGGTGACCTCTGGTCCCTCTACTGATGTACAGTACAATATAAGGTGACCACTAGCCTCCGTATTAATGTAAAATATCGGGTGACCTCTCGTCCCCGTAATGATGTACAAAATAAGGTGACCTCAGGTCCCCCTGCCAATGTACAATATAAGGTGACCCCTGGTATCCCTGCTGATGATCAATATGAAGTGACCTCTCATCCCCTTACTGATGTTCAATATAAGGTGACCTCTAGTCCCCCTTTCTGGTGTTAAATATAAGGTGACCTCTGGTCCCCCTTTTGATGTACAATATAAAGTGGTCTCTGGTCCCCCTACTGATGTACAATATAAGATGACCTCTGGTCCCCCTTCTGATTTTAAATATAAGGTGACCCCAGGTCCCCCTCCTGATATACAATATACAGTGGCCTCTGGTCCCTCTACTGATGTACAATATAAGGTGACCTCTGGTCCCCCTTCTGATGTTAGATATAAGGTGACCTCTGGTCCCCCTTATGATGTTAGATATAAGGTGACCTCTGGTCCCCTTACTGATGAACAATATAAGGTAGCCTCTAGTCCCCCTACCGATGCACAATATAAGGTGACCTCTGGTCCCCCTTCTGATGTACAATATAAGGTGACCCTTGGTCCCCCTGCTGTTGTACAATATAAGGTGACCTCTGGTCATCCTACTGATGTTAAATATAAGGTGACCTCTGGTCCCCTTACTTATGTATAATATAAGGTGACCTCTGGTCCCCCTACTTATGTACAATAAAAGCTGACCTCTGGTCCTTCTGCTGATGAACAATATAAGATAATCTCTGGTCCTACTACTGATGTACAATATTAGGTGTCCTCTGGTCCCCTTATTGATGTTCAATATAAGGTGACCTTTGATCCCTCTACTGATGTACAGTAAAATATTAGGTTACTGCTCCGTACTCATGAAAAATATCGGGTGACCTCTGGTCCCCGTACTGATGTAAAATATAAGGTGTCCTCTGGTCACCCTACTGATGTAAAATATATGGTGAACCCTGGTACAACTGCTGTTGATCAATATAAAGTGACCTCTCATCCCCTTACTGATGTACAATATAAAATGACCTCTAGTCCCCTTTCTGGTGTTAAATATAAGGTGTCCTCTGGTCCCGCTACAGATGTACAATACAATATTAGGTGACCACTATTCCCCGTACAATATAAAATGACGTCTGGTCATCCTTCTGATGTTAAATATAAGGTGACCTCTGGTCCCCCTACTGATGTACAATAAAAGGTTACCTAAGGTACCCCTGCTGATGTACATATGTAACTTCTGGTCATCCTTCTGATGTTTAATCTAAGGTGACCTCTGGTCCCCCCTACTTATGTACAATATAAAGTGACCTCTGGTTCCCCCTACTGATGTTCAGTATAAGGTGAACTCTGTTTCTCCTACTGATGTGCAATATAAGGTGACCTCTGGTCCCCCTACTGATGTTCAATATAAGGTGTCCTCTGGTTCCCTTATTGGTGTACAATATAAGGTGACCTCTGGCCCCTCTACTGATGTACAGTAAAATATAAGGTGACCATTAGCCTCCGTATTAATGTAAAATATCGGGTGACCTCTGGTCCCCGTAATGATGTACAATAAAAGGTGACCCCTTTTCCCCCACTGATGTACAATATAAGGTGTCCTCTGGTCCCCCTACAGATGTATAGTATAAGGTGTCCTCTGGTCCCCCTACTGATATACAAGAGAGGATCTCAGGTCCTTCTGCTGATGTACAATATAAGATGACCTCTGGTCCTACTACTAATGTAAAATATAAGGTGTCCTCTGGTCCCGCTACAGATGTACAGTACAATATTAGGTGACCACTAGTCCCCGTACAATATAAAGTGACCTCTGGTCCTTCTGCTGATGTACAATATACGATGACTTCTGGTTTTACTACTGATGTACAATATAAGGTGACCTCTGGTCTCTCTACTGATGTACAGTACAATATTAGGTGACCATTAGTCCCCGTACTAATGTAAAATATCGGGTGACCTCTGGTCCCCGTATTGATGTACAATATAAGGCGTCCACTGGTCCCCCTACTGATGTATAGTATAAGGTGTCCTCTCCCCCCCCCCCCCACTGATGCACTGATGTACATTATAGGGTGACCTCTGGTCCCCCAAATGATGTACGATATAAGGTATCCCCAGGTCCCCCTATTACGTGCAATAAAAGATTACCTTTGGACCCCTATTGATTTAAAATGTAAGGTGACCTATGATCCCTCTGATGATGACAATGTAAGGTGACAACTGGTCTCCCTAATGATGTTAAATATAAGGTGGCCTCTGGTCCCCCTACTGATGTACAATGTAAGGTGATCTTTTGTCCTCCTATTGATGTAAAATATTAGGTTACCTCTGGTCACCCTTTATTATTTTCACGTTTCTGCTAATATATATATTAGAAAGTTGATCTTTGTAAAGTTATAAATATGATTATTTTGGAGTAAGACAAAGAAAATTGTCTATCATATAAAATTCAATTAATATATAAGGTGACCTGAGGTCTCCGTATTGATGATATCCATGAATTTACTTTTGTGCCTTTAATGCCTGGAGAGTACCTAGAATGTTTTATTACTACGCAAAATGACGAACTATTTGCGGGGGACCCCAGGTCCTAGTTCAGCGTACGTTTTATCCTTCTGCCAGTCACAACAGTTTCTATACAGAGATTTCGCGCTATCCTTTGCGGAGGAATCTCAGGTAACTTTTTACAGTCGCCGACAAAGCATCCTTGGACGAGTCCACTGCAGACTCTGAAAGGTGGCGCGGGTTACCCCATCGTTAACAAATTCTCATGGCTAGAAAATACATGGCTGTACCCCCCAACTGAAATTGCTTTTCACAGGCCTGCAAATGATGTGTACTTTGAGTGACAGCAAAATAGTAGAACAAAATGAATGTTGAATTCATGTATTATCTGAAGCTTTGGTAACGGAATCTATATCATAACTTCTTTTGGATTCGTACGGAATATTTATTGGACATGCCGCTCAGCTAGATGAACCCCATTGTCTCAAGGCACGGTCCGGAGTAGGAGACTGTCATACATTTTGACCGTGGTTTGCAACTACTGGCTTGTAGCAAGCTATTTAGATTGATGTATATATTAAATGATGTACGTCATTAAGCAAAAAATACAAAAACGTAAATAGTTGAAGTATACTAAATATCTACATAAAAAATCATTAAAGAAACGGTAACGTTATTATGTTTATATTTCTTCTAATTAAATTCAATATATGAATTTCGTTTTATGTACATGTAATTTATTCAACTGGAATATTGAACTCAATAGCCCTCATCTTATACCATTTTATGATATTATTTGACTTTCTACAGCTTGAGTATTTCTGACGTTTTGTCAGTATATACTTGTTTTTTGTGGTGCGATTGTTTTGGGGTTTTGACGATTTTTTTTATATTGTACACGTGATGAATAAGTGTATTAAATATAATTTGTGAAAAAAATGTCCTGCTCCAATAAGCCCCGGGGTTGAATATCGAGGAGGGGGGGGGGGGGGGGGTCCTGTCCACAATTACCTGTGGTGAAAACATGGTGATTTAAAATTTTTGATCGTCTATTAAACTTCCGCTATCCACTGGTGTTTTTTTTTTACATTTCCAAACTTAATCAATACTGAAGAACATGCTCTAGATATGACCAGTTTTCAAAATAACAGACACGTTAACATCAAAGGGATTTCAACAATCTTGTTAAAAAGCAGCATTTTGTAAATTCTTTGGTCGTTATGATGACCTTATTAAAAAATACAACCGAAAACTGGGTCCTATATGGGTTAATAATGTGTTTCATACCAATGGTACTAAAGACAATTGTTTGCAATTTATTTATTCATATATGTATTTTATTGTGGTTTTAGTTCCCCTAGACATACACAAGAACTGAACAGTATCTATTTTCAACAGACTAAAAAAACATTTCAGATTTGCTTAATCAGCTGTTTTTTTCTCTCTCAAGGAGTGATAAACTAGAAGTATAACTACATGTGAAATATTATTAACAAATTAATTCGCATTTTTGATGCGATTAGACATGCATGTATATACATACCATTTCAGAGCAATTTCGACACTGGCAACCAGGTCCAGTTGGTTTCAAAAGCCAGTGGGCGAACTTTGAGGATAATCCAGGCTCGGTCTGGTCAACTTAAAGTGGACAGCAGGGGAGACCTGGGCGGGCAGGAATGGAATGGTAGTTTGTTAACTATTAATATTTCATAATAATACTGTATAAAGTAATGTTTAGGAACTCTTTTATCATAAGTGTACTCCTTTTTATCAGTAAATAAAATAATTTTAATCTCACTTGTTTAGTAAAAAGTAAGTTTAAAAAAAAAAAAAAAAAAAAAAAAAAAAATTATCAAGAAAACGATTTCATTGTTCATACATTTTATTTTAGCTGTATGGACAGTTATTAATGAAGGTCACAATCAGATTCGCCTTCACAATAACTTTAACTTTCTGGCAATAGTAAATGGCGAAACCACTGTTATACATGTGGTAAGTATGTTATAAATTATTACGGGTTATTTTATTTTACTCTACTACAACAAAATATAAATAGGTGGAATTATTTTGGTAGTTCATGAATATTTAAAATAAAAACTTCAAATTTACTATAAATCACCATAAATCAAAATTTAAATTTTTGTTAACGATGTACTATAAATCTATCACATAAGTCCTCCCAGGATATATTGTTACATGTATAATGATTTTTAACACTCAGCTTATGCATTTTTGATATAAACAGGAATAATAATTTGCATTTCAAAGGTCCTACCTCTTCGGACTAAATGCTTAAAATGTGTGTGTGTGGGGGTTGGGGGGGGGGGGTGTCAGCTTATTATCTAGCATGTACACCTAAACGAGTAGCAGACAAACTGCGTGTTCGGTCTTTATATTAATTAAATGTACCTGAATGACTTAAGGCAAAACGACCCTCTGATAAGAATTTTAATTTCCAAACAAAATAACATGCTGTAGGTTAATTTGTCAAACTAGATATTAATAATTTAAGAACCATTCCGGGGTCTTCCACTTGCCCATATAGGATTTGGGCTTCTTTCAAATAGCTAAAACTCTCCCTTTCCTGTAAGTACATTTTCTTCTTAAATTATTTTTTTATATGGATGCATATTTACTTAAAACGAATGAATATATATGTCACTAGATATTATTTTTAAAATTGTTCATGTTGTGATGATAAATCTTTCTATTCATTGTGTCAAATATTCTAAATATACCATCCAATAGATAAGGCTCATGGAGGGTGTGACCGGTTAACAAGATGCTTACTTCTCAAATTCACCTTATCCAATTCTGGATTTCCGCGGATTCGTATTTATGCCCTGTTCACAGAATTGTATTGTTTGTAGTTTTATTTTATGTGATCGATCGCTCTTTCGCCCTACTTAAAGTGCTTGTACGATGAA